CCCCTCTCTTCCAAGTAGGTATAACTGCAGACCGGAGATCTCCAAAATGGGGTGTGAACTCCAAAAGTGGGCAGAACCTCCAAAATGGGGCGGGGTCTCCTCGGGCAAAGACTTTCACCACTTTATTGACTTACATTTCAAAATAAAACTTTATAAGTTAAACATTGTTTCTAGTTGATCTAAAATAAAATATGCTATATAAATAAATATTCTCCGTAAGAGCAGAGCCCAAAGCTCATGGCCAGTGGTGTTTGGACTGGAGTTTGAACCTCTGCTTCATGATGTAAACGGGAATCACCCATGAGCTCTCCCGCGAGCCGTCCCTGCACAGTGCAAATATTTTACTCTATCGCTTTGTTTTAAGCAACGGGGGTGTCCTGGGGCTCGAAATTCGCAGGGTAGGAGGGGGTAGTGATGCTGGGTGTAACTAAAAAGGTGCCCATTGTCCGGTGAGGTTCGGTTGGGGAGTTACGGAACGATCTCATATCGCATAATCTTATTAACTGTTTATCTGCTGAACTGCATCTTTCTTTACCATGCTATTCAGCGTCAATCCCGCCGTGAACTCGATTTGACTGGTTAAGGTTAGGGTCAGGTGTGGGGTAGGTTTAAGCCCAATTTATACTTGTGCGTCGAACCAACGCCGTAGCCTACGCATAGATGCACACCCTATGCCGTAGCCTGACGTGCACCTCTCCAAAAATCTCACGAGTTTTGTGTGTTTATGTGCACTTTATTATATTTTAATGTTACACCTTCTTATATAAAATAAAACAAAGCAAAGAACAAGTGTCTTATCATTTATTATACTACATAGCATTATACATCAGTAGTTGTCCGCGACAAACAATGTTGATCTGCCGTGGTACAAGTCCTTGTGGAGATTGAAAGTATGCCATCTTCTCCTGTTCCGTTGTTGTCTGCTTTTTGTAGTTTTAAATAATGATTTAATGATCTGATATTTATATTTACGATGCAGAAGTATAAATGAAAACTGACGCATAGCCTACGGCGTAGGTCAGACACAGAATTATAAATCAGTCTTTAGGGGTTAGCATGTAGTATAGTGTAGGAAATCAACACTTTAATTGACAACCAATAAAATCTTTAGAATCAGCTGTGGGGTGGAGTTTGCACTGAAGTGGATTGGGGGGAAAAAATTACACATGCGTGTCATGTCTTTCAATGAGAGGAAGGCACTCCCTATTTTGAAGCTCCCACCCCGTTTTGGAGTTCCCGCCCCCATTTGGAGATCTCCAGGCTGCAGTTATACCCTTCTCCTCTCTTCTGTGGGTGACAAGCCATTTTCATGATACTGTTTACTTTAGCCACGGAACTTGCTAACTAGCACATTATTAGGAAAAAAAGATTTGCAAAGATTCATAAAAAAAACCCTTATACTCACTTCTTCTGTAGATGAAGCTGGGTCATGAATGATTCGCACGAACTTAAACGCATTTAGGCAGATCGGGGATCGGCGCATTCCTTTAAAAAAACGAAAGTGTCATTAATCCTCTGCGTCTTCAGCGGCTCAGATGCCGGGAGTAAATGACGACTGCTATGTTCATTATTACAACCAGCAACAGAACACCTCAATCACTTAATCGGAGACATTCTTGTCTTCCCCTGCTAGTTGTCCGCGACAAACAATGTTGATCTGCCGTGGTACAAGTCCTTGTGGAGATTGAAAGTATGCCATCTTCTCCTGTTCCGTTGTTGTCTGCTTTTTGTAGTTTTAAATAATGATTTAATGATCTGATATTTATATTTACGATGCAGAAGTATAAATGAAAACTGACGCATAGCCTACGGCGTAGGTCAGACACAGAATTATAAATCAGTCTTTAGGGGTTAGCATGTAGTATAGTGTAGGAAATCAACACTTTAATTGACAACCAATAAAATCTTTAGAATCAGCTGTGGGGTGGAGTTTGCACTGAAGTGGATTGGGGGGAAAAAATTACACATGCGTGTCATGTCTTTCAATGAGAGGAAGGCACTCCCTATTTTGAAGCTCCCACCCCGTTTTGGAGTTCCCGCCCCCATTTGGAGATCTCCAGGCTGCAGTTATACCCTTCTCCTCTCTTCTGTGGGTGACAAGCCATTTTCATGATACTGTTTACTTTAGCCACGGAACTTGCTAACTAGCACATTATTAGGAAAAAAAGATTTGCAAAGATTCATAAAAAAAACCCTTATACTCACTTCTTCTGTAGATGAAGCTGGGTCATGAATGATTCGCACGAACTTAAACGCATTTAGGCAGATCGGGGATCGGCGCATTCCTTTAAAAAAACGAAAGTGTCATTAATCCTCTGCGTCTTCAGCGGCTCAGATGCCGGGAGTAAATGACGACTGCTATGTTCATTATTACAACCAGCAACAGAACACCTCAATCACTTAATCGGAGACATTCTTGTCTTCCCCTGCACCGGAGTCGACACGATGGCGGACAGCTTACAGCTCACTCAGGGCAGGTCTAAGGTAAGACGGCCTTGTCAATCAACTATCGTGGGAGGGTCCTGTGCAGAGCTACTTCTTTCTGACAGGAATCTCAGAACAGCCTGATTTGAAGGGGATTTAAAAAAAAAACCACTGGGTGGATTTTTATCATTATAGGTTGGATGTGTATACACACTTCCAACACACATTTATGTTCAAACAACAACAAAAGTGAATTTTGCATCCGATGACCCCTTTAAGATTGTTCTATTATCTATTGAAACCCACAATGATATTTAAAATATCAGTAAGCTTAATATATATCAAATCATAGTTTATTGGGTACTTTCAGTTGGGAGGTGGCTGTCCCACAGCCATTGAGCTAGGATCAAAAGTAACAAAAATTTTCACTCCCGAAAAACATTTGGTGGAGTTTCGGTAGTGACATCTTTGTTTGTTTTTTTGGTTGTTATCCCATAGAATTGTCACTACCGAAAATGTGCCGTCACTACCGAAACATGGGATGTTTTGTCAAAAATAAAGTATACTGAATTATCAGCTAAGATGTTATGATAGTTTGTGGTTCAGTGAATATTCAAACTAATGAATCCTTAACTTTTAAATCAGTATGATCATCTTTTTACCTTTTACAAAGAAAAATTGGATTCAAAATAAACAAATCTCATAAATTACACTTGAAATATTGTTAAGAATTTAATTATTGATTTACCTCTGAAAAAATTTAATAAAATAGCCAAAAAATATATTTACAATCTAGATGTAAGCAAAATCTTAATAGGTCAATATAACCCTTCTAATTAAATTATTACTATTTTGGTAGTGACAAATTTGGGGAGAGGACAAATATTCCAAAAATGTATGAAAATATAATATGAGAATTAACTGCACAATTACTAGAAATGTGTACCTTGGATATTATACAATTTGCATGCATACCGTTTTTGGGGAAAATACACATTACACAAATACACATTTTCCCCCAGACGTTTCCAACTCTGACTTTGGACCAAGTCTGTAGAATGTTCCATATATCAATATATTAAAAATATCCTCCAAAAATGCATGTACGCTGACTTTCAAAAGTATATGAGGTCTGTAAGGTTTTTTTTAATGAATTTAATTTATTTATAAATAATATTACAATATAAAATAGCTGTTTTCTATTTTAATATATTTTAAAATATAATTCATTCAGCAGCCTTTACTTCAGTGTCACACAATCCTTCAGAAATCATTCTAATATGCTGATTTGGTGTTCAAGAAACATTTATTATTGTAAATGTTGAGAACAGCTGTTCTGCTTAATATATATATTTTCTGTGACATTATAAATGTCTTTGCTGTCAGTTTTGATCAAACTAATGTGTGCTTGCTGAATAAGTGTTCATTTCTGTCCAAAAATATCTTACTGACCTCAGATTTTGGAATGCTAGTATACTTTTTTGTTTATTGTAGCATAATGTAATGTTGAGTTTACGGTGAATTGATTAGAGCCAGTTTAAATATACAGTATTTACTTTTTTTGTGACACTCCTTCAGATGCCCCATTGATTGGTAAGATGGCAGTGCTGGTGGGTGTTGAGGGACCCCTGAAGGCAACTCTTCAATTTTTGTTGCAAAACAATGGCATGATGGTGCAGACCTGCCAGTGGAGCTCAAAGCACTTGCAAAAGCAGGTAAATTGATAACTGGGAGATATTTATTTTTCAGGTCAGTTTTTAGGTGTAGTTTGCTATTTTCAGCAGCAGAGGGCAATGCTGCTTTGTTTCAGGAGGGACATCTGGATAAATCATAGGAGGCATACACTAATTTTCTTTCTTTCTCTCTCTTTCTTTCAGATCATGGATTCGGATTTGGTGATATTGTTAGAGACTGACCACAAGGGCCTCCCACCCACTTGGTTAAGACCCGGGGTGGCAGTCATCAACCTCAGCTCAGCCCTAATGGAAGGTACATTTATTCAAAGTAAAGATATTAAGCATGGCTCACGTTATAACAGTTGTTTTTTACTTTGCTATACATAAAACGTATAGATCCGTTCTTTACTTGAGAAGTGCCATTTGAGAATCGAGGAAACTTATAATTGTAGTACCATGTGAAAGACAAGCATATGATTCCTCTGAAACCGATTAAGTCAGGCACGCAGTTTTCTTCACCTTTCATTACCTGCCATCTCCAGGAGACTTTAATGGATATAGAGGCCCATGCTGTTTCCTCCATAACCCACAAATTCCATTAGTGTGGGAACATAATAAGACACCACTAATTGTATTTCCTTAGATGCTCAGTCCGGGCCAACTTTTCATACTTATGATCTTATTTCCTAGAACACCCTGACAGTTGGGAGCACAGGGCTGAAGCTGAATCCGGTGCAGGAGTTGGGCCTCTAAGTGGTGCGCTAAGAATGCAGGTGAGAGGCCTGTTGTTGTTTCTTCTTTGTATTAAAATCTTTAAAATAGGATAAGTTATTCTATCAATTTAATATAAAACCTTAAGAACCCGTGATTTACCAATTTAAAGATGAATTTATTAGGGTTAGGGTTTATTAGGGTTAGGTTAGGTTACCCTAACCTAACAGTAAAAAGTTGGGAAAAAGTTGTTTTTTAAAGGGGATCACCAAGGCGGCATTTATTTGATCAATAAATAAATACTTTCAAATAAATATAGTCAGTAATGTTGTAAAATATTATTACAATTTGAAATAATTGTTTTCTATTTGAATATATTTTAAAATGTAATTTATTCCTTGCATGGCAAAGCTGAATTTTCAGCAGCTATTACTCCAGTGTCAAATGATCCTTCAGAAATCATTCTGATATGCTGGTTTGAAAAACTGATCATTTATTGCCTGTTGTCCTCTTTTTAAAGCTGCTTTACAGCAGAATTAAGTTTTGTTTGCATCATTGAAACATTAATTTGATTTGAACTTGGTGCTCAAGAAACTATTATTATTATCATTGTTGAAAACAGTTGTGCTGCTTAATATTATTGTGCAGACAGGGTTTCAGGATTCTTCAATAAATAGAAAGTTAAAAAGAACTGCTTTTATTTGATATTGAAATCTTTTGTAACATTATAAAAATCTTTGTCACTTTCGATCAGTTCACTGTGTTTTGAATGGTAGTGTTATACCAAATCACAGTAGTTATTGCCAGTATGTTATTTTTATAGTATATATTTGTGCACAGTTTGTGTACATAATTATGCTATGAATGTTGTAATTTTGAAGCGTTCACTGAGATGTTTGTGTCTGTTGTGATCTGCCAGCATGTAGTGAGGAGCAGCAGGAGGTGGATACAAGAACAGCAGTACCAGCCATGGAGGCTCCGCCCACTAAAACTCCAACCACTCTCACCTGTGCCTAGGTACGAACGGCCTTGCCTTTTAGTTTCTACGGAATATGCATCACTCAGACCTTTGCTTGTTCATTTGTGCACAGAACTAATTGGTCTCTCCATCTTTCTTTTTGCATGTTTCTGTAACCCTCAGTGATATAGAGATCTCCAGAGCACAGACTCCCAAACCCATATCTCAGCTGGCTCAGGAGGTTGGTCTGCTTCCAGAGGAGCTGGAGGCCTATGGAAATACCAAAGCCAAAGTCCATTTGTCCCTCCTCAACCGCCTCCAACATCAGCCTAATGGCAAATATGTCCTGGTGGCAGGGTGTGACATCAGTTTTTACTTTCACTGAAGTTTAATTCATGTCATATTACTTATCTAAGGGTGTGTTTACGCTTGGAAGCTTTAGTTTGATTTGATTGGTTTGGTTTTTACTGTTTGGTACAGGTGTTGATACCAGCAGATCTTTGTTTGCATGCAAGAATTCCTGGCAATATTTAGATTCCTTTGCATATTTCATAAGCTTTTAGTGCGTTTTAAGCTGGTAAAAATCAAATGGCTGCAATATAACAAAGAGTGAAAAATTGAAGGGGGTCTGAATACTTTCCCTACCCACTGTATGTAGACACATGCAACGAGCACAATTAGTCTGACACGCAGCATTGTTTTGGATATTTGGTAAGTAATTTTTCAGGTTATCACCTTATCCTTATGCTTTTTTTAATCTTTAGATTCAGTCGAAAACGAATGAATGCTAAGAGAACCAGGACTAAATGTATGATTTTATTTTTTTTTTGGTTCAGACCAAAAGAAATATGAGAACCAAAGTACGAAAAGTGTGAATACACCCTGAAATGATACGAAAGCAATGATACAAATTTTTATTGAACAACCAAGTTGAACCAAAACTGTATTGACTTCATTTGTTGAAAATGTGTTAATCAGTAAATTTAAAGACATTGGAAGCTTTTTCATCAGTTAATGGCAGATAGATTGATGACAGTCATTTTTGCCTTGAAATAACCTAAATAGGAGAAATAGGTTAAAAGCAAGCATCTAAGGAAAACTTCAGGTCAGTGTTTGTGTGTTTTCACGCTCACGTCCGTGTACACATTTGTACTCTGCCTCTAAATTCCTAGAGAGAGTGATTGCTGGGCCCAGGGATCTTATCTACTGCTGGCTCTTGAACCCACCAGGAGCCTCCCTTTCATCCGTGTGTGTGAAGCGTGGCTCGGGTCAGCTCCAAATGGGGGCCCAAGGTCTCTTTCATGTGTGTGGGGAATGCGCAGACCCCTGGCTTTATCAGCAGCCCCTTCCCTCTCCTTAACTCTCCTTCTTTAAGTCCCGCTCTTTGTTCTGCCTGCAGATGCTGTGAAGCAGCACTGCCCTCCCCACCCAGCCTACTCAATTACTGTCAGCCACTGGCATGCCTTTACTGCGCTGCCAAAAGAGCAGCTCCACAAAGACAGAGAGAGGGCGGATGCTGATGGGGAGAGGGTTTGCCAGCAGCCTAATGTAGTGAGATCAGAGGGAAAACGAAAAGAGAAAGACAGAAGGATGAATAGATGTATAGTCACAACCCTCTCCCTTTAAATGTGGAAAAGCATGTGTTGATAATGTTTTCGGTCTATGTTTTTCAGTATAACTCCCACTCCACTGGGTGAGGGGAAGAGTACAGTGACCATAGGTCTTGTCCAGGCCCTTTCCGCTCATCTTAAGCTCAACTCTTTTGCTTGCCTGCGACAGCCTTCCCAGGGCCCAACGTTTGGTGTCAAAGGTGTGTTTTTGTGTGTTTGCTTTATCTTAGTTTGATATTGTAGTATACAGATAACAATAAGTAACGTAACAACATTTCACGGTATCACAGATGCACTTCCTTAAGGTTGCTCCAAAATGTAGGCATTATAATTATGCAACTTTCTAAGATCTAAGCACTCATTTTAAGGCACTGTAACTTGTCCTTTGTAGAGTAGGCAATCCCAAAATGCCCTGCAATGAGTTCAGTAAAACAAATAAATCCAAGATGGTGGAAAAGGAGAGAGATGTTAATATAAATTTATCAATATTGAAAAATAATTAAAAATAAAAGTAAACCGTTAACTGAAATAACATTTAATTTGAATTTATTGTAAATATACAAATAAAAAATATATGGTGTGTGTGTGTGTATATACACAGTATTTTTAAAATCAATTCATAATGTAATTTTATAATAATTAAGTTTGATCTATTTTTATATGTATTTATATATATATATATATATATATATATATGCTGATTATATATTTTTATATGTAGAGTTTCAGATCAGTCACAAATGTTTTATGATACTTAGGATGCTGCCCACTTAGACAGTGCACAGCAAGACAGTTCACTAGATTTTGGATCAAGCTCATGTCTGGCTTTATCAGACGTATTGTCTTGTGTTTTCATTGCTGTGTGTTTGTCAGCCTGTTTCATTATTTTGTCTCCCTGCAGGAGGAGCGGCGGGTGGGGGATATGCGCAGGTCATTCCTATGGAGGAGGTGAGTGACTACAGACATCCTGTCTCCCGCTATCACAAAGCCCTTTCCCTAGTATGCCACAACTGATGACAGCCCTTAAAAACACACACACACACACACACACACAGCCATTGAGACCAAGTTAAATAAAGCGCAAAGTCCAAAACTCTGAGACCACTAGTGAAAATACTTTGGTTTTGTGATTTTTAATAGATTTTTTTTTATCATTACCAACAAATATCAGTATATCATTGTTGAAAAATAACCTATTTCGGAATTTGTTGTTATATTATGCGTCCAAGTAACAGCATGTATGAAAATAATAAGACTTTTTATTTCTAGTTTTATATTATGTTTTTAATCCCATATTTTCTGTTATCTCAGACTTTTGGACAGCCCTTAAAAACACACACACACACACACACACACACACAGCCATTGAGACCAAGTTAAATAAAGCGCAAAGTCCAAAACTCTGAGACCACTAGTGAAAATACTTTGGTTTTGTGATTTTTAATAGATTTTTTTTATCATTACCAACAAATATCAGTATATCATTGTTGAAAAATAACCTATTTCGGAATTTGTTGTTATATTATGCGTCCAAGTAACAGCATGTATGAAAATAATAAGACTTTTTATTTCTAGTTTTATATTATGTTTTTAATCCCATATTTTCTGTTATCTCGGACTTTTGGACAACACTGAACATGTGTGTGTGAGAGCAGATACTGTCTTTATCAGAAGCTTCAGAAAACAGCCTACTCAAACTCACTTTATTTTTTTCCATTCAGTTTAATCTCCACCTCACAGGAGACATCCACGCTATAACCGCAGCCAATAATCTAGTGGCGGCAGCTATCGATGCCCGCATTCTCCATGAAGCTACTCAATCAGACAAGGTAAACAACTGCAATCGTAATATTTTGATTTCACACAGAGCAGTCTCCCTGGGCTTTAATATTATGATTCATCAATAGTTAGTGTGTCATTAAAGAGTATTCTTCCTGATTCTATACAAGTCTATAATTGCATATATCACTTCCTAATGCTTTAAGTATTCAGCTATAAGTTGTTTTTGTGTCTTTTAGGCCCTGTACAGCAGACTAGTGCCGTCTGTTAATGGCGTGAGATGTTTCTCTCCTATACAGATGGCTCGCCTACAAGTGAGTGGACAAGACTTTGTACCTCTGACCTTGTTAATACCATCATCATTTGACACAGAAGTTATTAGGGCAGTGGTTCTCAGAAAACTTCCAAGGGGGCCTCAAGATTATAAACCAGAACTACTACATGATATGTCTTACTTTAATGCATCCCTTCAATTTCTTATTTTAATGTATCCCCTTTTTCAATGGTCTTGGAAAGCCAAATTTAAAATCTGTGATTTTTAGACCTTGAAAAGTATTTTGGTGGCCAATATATAGGACGCCAAACAAAATATTTTTCCTTATCTTTAAGACTTATCCAGTAAATGGGAACCCTGAAGAACATTCACCTCTTAAAATGTCTGGAAAACGAAAAATGTGTAATAAAAGATCTGCACTAGAATGTGTTGAACTTTGGAAGCAGTAGATCAGATAACCAACAGGGGTCCTCATGCAGCTACTGCGAAAATGAGCAATTTTTTCTTATGAGGCTGTAATTCAAAGCAAGTCTAGCTGTTAACCAGTTTCATTATTTTTGTTTAAGTAAACAAGTCAAGTGTTGTGTTATGTTGGCTGTGACACAGATGAGCTGAGAGACTCCTCTAAACACAAACTGTTTATCTTTGCTCAGGGACAGGCTGGGTTTACTTACATTTTGGAAAGGCAAAGCTGGTAAATTTACAAGAGACGGCCAGTGATTCAGAGAGAAATCTAATTAAAAAGATAGTCTGAAAGATATTTATGACTGCTGGGGCCTCCAATAGCAAAATATTTGCAATTTAGGAAAAATCTCCTAAATTCTTCTTCTGAGTCAAGGCCAAAACTAACTGCAGTAATGAAAATGCTTTAATAGTAGGTTTGTTTCATATGAATGAACAGCTTTTTCATCATCATAAACACTGCACTTGTGTCTGTCTCTTCCTCACCTATGTTTTCAGCATCTTGGAATAAACAAATCTGACCCCAGTGACCTCACACCAGAAGAGGTCAGGGCATTTGTCCGTCTTGACCTTGACCCTGAGAAGGTCACATGGCAGAGAGGTAGGAGGTTGAGCAATTTAGATTGCTTTACTGTTCTGCATATGGTACATTCTTACAAGAATCCCTCAATGCCTGATGAGTAACAGAAAGAGATTTAGAGATTGTGGTACAGGATATGTGATGCATAAGACAGTGAGATGAAGCATGCAGGATGATGACACAATATGTGGCCACTGGAATGCTATTGCCACATTTGACTCTTCTGTTTGAATTGGCTAGTGGGAAAGCACTATAAACTAGCCATTTCGTTACATCTGAGCAATTTTTGAGAACTAGTCCCTCTTGAACACATGCAATAACGAGTCTACTCTTCGCACCTGGAAGGCATGCCAAATGTGGACCACCTGCTTTTGGTTATGGCGCAGTGCCGTCTGATAGCTACGATCACTGGGGGATGAGATTCAGCTGGATTGGGGTGTTTCCCGTTTTACTCGTGGCCGCCTGGGAACATCTGTTGCCTTTAGCCCTACATTCAGATGATAGTGCTTCAGTGACTGATGGGATATTTACTCTGTCGGTTCAAAAGTGCACACTAAGATGAGGGCCCTGGAAGATTAACAACAGTTTTACATCTCTCTCCTGCTGCGAATGCGAATCTGTGCGTATCTGAGAAGGTCTGACAATCCGTACAATTTTCTCAAAGTGACGTTCATTAATGTAATGTCTAAACCATTAAAGTTTCCCATGGTCCATTATGGGAAGATATCATTGTGAATAATGATCCTCGGACTACATTATCATGGTCTTTCCTTGTTTATTAATCACTCTTCAGATGAAACATTTTGGCTGTGCTGTATGTTATGCTGTACTTCATGTACACTGTGTTCTCACAGATGGATGAATTGAAACCGATACACAAGAGGAATACGAGAGACGGCCAGAAAGCAGACTAAACCACTGTTGTAATTTTTGTTGCCCGTGACATGTTTAAAATGAGGCTTATAATAATTGTTCTGTTTCTCTATGAGAAAATACCAGAGGGTTGAATTCTTTCCCTTCCAACTTGCTGGCCATTAGGGAGTTGTGTTTGTCTCATACTGCACCCTCCTACATTCAGCTTAGCTGCAAGAAAAAAACACAAATGCAAAAAGTCTTTGAGGAATGCATGCTTATTGCAAGGTTATGATTTCGCCTGGTGTCCATCCCTCTGGGTCTCTTTAGGTCATTGGTTTTTGGGATTCATTAGATTGCCTCATACATCTCCTCAGCAGTGACTGCAAAATCTGTTCCGCTTGCAGCATTTAGCATCCAGCTGAGTTCCCTCATGACGTGATTATCTCCAGCCATTGTCTTCAAACACAACTCTGTTACACTTGAACCAACCAATGTTATGTTATCGCAACCTCATGAAAAAAATAATATTGCTTTTATTATAAAAACATCCTCCGTCTTGAAATGTTTCAATTGCAATAGGGAAAATTCACCCAGATATGAGAATTGTCATTTTGTCAACCTGTATGACACAAATTTAGTTTTTTTTTTTAATGCTATTGGACAGTACACTCATTGAGGAACTTTGTCCTCCATACTTCACTCTCATTCCTCCATACAAATGGAGTTATTAATAGTGCACCAATCATGTTGACTACTTCTATGGCGCTTTTACAGTATGTCCTTTTATAGCTTAAAGCTTTGCTTCCCATTCATTGTAGAGCCTACAAAGTACATCATTAATTTCTCCTTGTGTGTTTTAGCAAGAAAGAAAGTCATGCAGGTTATAAATGACATGAGTAAATGACCACATAATTTATTTTTGGGTGAACTACCCTAAGGTAGAAGCACAGGCTTTTGATTCTTTGTTCTGTTTCTCTTAACATATGTTTTCCTCTTTCAAATAGTTATTGATACCAATGACCGATTTCTGCGTAAGATCACTGTTGGCCAGGCTAACACAGAAAAAGGCCATGCTCGCCAGGTACGTGCTTCAAACTTCTGATTCAAGTAGCCAACATTCAAATGTTGTTCACTTTTCCTCAATGATTATTTATCTCTTGTTCTCCATCCCTCTCTCACTTTTATATATATTTCCCTTAACTGGAATCTGTTAAGTCTTTCAGTATGTCAACGGCCGTCAGAATTAATGACTTTTAAACCAAATCAAGCAAATAATAGTGTGCACCTCAATGGGAAACAGTCTAAGTAAAAGCAAATGTCTCAAAAAGGCGTTACTGCGCACATACTGTAGCAAAGACCCTCTGAGCTGGTGAATCATGTGCTTACATTCGTCTCCCTCCCTCTGTACCAAAACCACTGAAATCTGCACTACAACCTTGTACTTTTATTCTTGAGCAACATACAGTATACTATAATGTATGTGTATTTTGGAAAGACAATAGAAGCCTGTGTGTGTGTGTGTTTGAAATTTAAAAGAAGCACTGAAGCATGTTTCCTCAGGCTTTGCAAACATTGACTTAGGGTGGATTATCTCAACAATTAGGGTGCTGTAAATGCAGTTAAATGGCAAGTAATGATGACACAAGTGGTGTGTATTAAGCGGCCCATCTCTCCTGATAGGGCATCTGGCTCCCAGCTGTTTTATTGGGGGAGTATTTATTAGCTGAGAGTTAAACCAGGACAGCTCGGTTTTTTACTCCAGCTGGGGTTGTCTTGGACACATGGGAGCAGTTTACTGTATGTGATAAAGAACCAGACTTGGCAGATGTGTTTCTGACAAATCTCTATAAAGGGTTTATATCGTGACGACTCATTTTTATGGAAATCACCTAAATCATCACTGTGATGTGTTTGTGTGCTGGTCAGTATGTGATCTTCCCCTCTCGTTTTTACAGACCCAGTTTGATATTGCGGTGGCCAGTGAGATCATGGCTATCCTTGCTCTGACAGATGGACTGGCTGATATGCGGGCCAGGCTGGGACGTATGGTTGTGGGCAGCAGCAGAAACGGCCAGCCGATCACTGCAGATGACTTGGTGTGTGTGTGTGTGAGAGAGAGAGAGAGAGAGAGAGAGAGAGAGCG